TGTAGAAGAACCACTTTGACTTTTATAAAAACTGTTATTTGTATAGTAGCCTCTTCTACTTTCTCCAATAAGTTTTCCATTTTTGTTGATGTGAAATTTGGTACAAGTGATCATCAGGAAGAGTTGATTATTATTGATTTAATTTATTATTAATTTTATTATTTATTTTTACTATTTAATTTTACTATTTAATTTAATTTTATATTGTGAATATATAATAAAGATCATATAATTTTTAATTTTTTTTTGCTAAACTTTCAAGCAACTTTTATTTTTATTAGTTTAGTTGCTACATATTAATATTTTGTTAAGCACAATCTATTTGTTATACTTAATACATAGGCTTTTCAAGCTAGATGGCATCTATATATACTAGGTCTCTTTTGTTAACTACAATACATATAATGCATTAACTACAAAGGCAATTCAATTAGTTTAAAAAGGAAAAAATCATTATTGTATGCAGATATTAATACCTTTTATATTGATTTCTGCTTTTTAATATGATAGTTTGTTTCTTTTACTTTAGATTCAGAAATTGTAAGTTTATCATACAAAGTAACATTCAATCTTCACTTTATTCTAGCATCCACAATTGCCTCTAGATTGATTTGAGTTATTCAGTTTCTTTTTTCTTGATTAAACTGATCTCAAACTTTTCAGATAGCACCTACCCATTTATTAAAAGTAATATTATAGAACTCTTCAGGCTCTAACTTACTTTGAATAACTGAATTGTCCAAAATTGATTTAATATATATCTTATTATATATAGCAAAAACATGTTTACATGCTATTCCATGATGCTGAAATCTGGGCATGTATATTTAAAATGTATTGGTTTTATATTATCAGTTTTTTACTCACAATTTTTTAAACTAACTTTATAGCTATTATTTAATGATTTCACAAGATAATAATAGCCATTTGGTAAATTAAAGATTTCAAAGTTCAAATTATTAGCAGTGAGTTTATGGCACCATTGTTCTTTTTGTTAAGATTTCATCCTTTTTATCATTAAATGGACTGCATTATATTTAAATTCAGCTGTCAAAGTGCTATGCAAAGTCCAAATTAAAGTATCAATCTGGTAGTTATGCTTAGCTTTCAAATAAGTATATTTAAATTTTTTATATCATGATTTGAGAAAATTTGTGGTATTTATTTCTTGATGTTCATAAAAATAATATGTATTGACCTATCTTTTATAATTTTCTTTATATTATCTTGTTATATATTGTACTTATTCTGTTTTATCAAGAGATATCCATCTAGCCAAATATTCATTAAATTTATTTTATATCTGAAAGACATCTTGAATTCGTATAATGGCTCTAAGTTCATTTAATGCTGCTTTTTGAGATACCTGTTTTTCTGATCTTTTAAAAACATTATTGGCATTTTCATCCTTTTCTTGAGCCTTAAAATAATTACTACTGGCTTTAATTTTATTTTTATTTTTTTGTCAGGCATTTTTTATATGCTATTGGCATAACAAAATTATAGCTTCAGGATATACAATATGAATGGCATTTTGTTGTGCATCATCATAGTCTATGAGGAAAGTATATAGTTTTCATTTATGATTTTGATTTTTGATTGCTTTAAGCCAATAAATTAACATTTTGCCAGATTTTTTTTCAGATATTAAATATGCTATAGGTATGCCTTGACCACCTTTACTATCATATATAAGCAAAGTAAAAAGATGCATTTTATAAAACATTGTTCTGTGTATATCATTAATATAAACAGTTTGTAAACTTTCTAATTTTAGCAAATTTTTTTAAAATTTAGTTTGAAATCCATACATGATATTTAAAGATGAACCCCAGACCAAATTATTGCAGATATAGAAACTATCTTGTTCTGACATTGCAATTTATTCTTTGACAGATGATCTTTCATCATATCCTTCTTCTTTATTACCTAAAAAGATTACTCCTTTTATTTCTTAATTAATAATATTGTAAACATCAATGTAAGAAATATAAGCATCTTGTTTTTGTATTATTGATAAAGAGTCAAGATCTTCAGTTTCTTTAAATTGGTTAATACAATTATAAAATAGAGTCACAATTTGAGATATTTCATTCCATCTTTTGCTCTTGCACAAACCTATTTTTTGGCTTACTAAGATATAGTAAAATGTTATAAATCTTTATTAGTATCAAAAATGTGTCCATTATGCATTATATAGTAGATAATATGAACTGCATCTTCTTTTTTATCACAATGCTTTAATACTTGTAAATATGATCTACAACTAACCTTTTTTGAAGGCTTCTGAATAAAACAAGGATGGTTATAGCTTGACAAAGGCTTGATAGCCTATTTCATTGTTCTGGCTGTAGATTTTGAACTGCTACTACAATGGCATATATATCGCTCATTAAGCTTATATTCTGAACTTTCATGATTGTCCTTTTAAATATAACATGCTCTAGCAATATTTGATAAGATATTTTGAATTCAGTCTTTATATGTTTTTATTTAAGATGAGTATAAATTTTTATATATTTATTCTTATTTATTTCTTGACCATCATTAAATAGATATAGTTTATTGATATTATCTGAGAAATATGATTCTTTGATTTCATCAACTTTATTTGAAAAATATGGCTTGTTGACTTTACTTGACAGATAAGATTCATTAATTTTACTTAACATATCATTAGATATATTATTACTTAATATAGTTAGATTATTATTATTAACTTTTGTATTTTTTAATTTGGCTTTATTGCTAGATGATAATTCAACAAATGATGATTGCCTAACATATTCTACATCATGTAATCTGAAGAATTTATGAGAATATTCAATAACTTCATTAACTAAATTATTTATTAGTTTGCTTTGGTTATCTACATCTAATTTGGATTCATCATTGAACAAAGATCTTACTAAAGATGATCTATTTTCACATTCTTGTGATTTGGATTGTTTGGTGGCATTTTTAATGACCTTATTCATTAAATTATTTAGTAAGTTATTAGTAAGTTGTTTATTCATATTTACTTGTATTGGTTATTAGTATTATTGGATAAATTTAAATATCTTTTAACAAATTAAGTTTTAATAAAATACAGAGCATGGCAAATCACCAAAGATATGACAAGATGATTTGAAGTATTATTTAATTAGATTTATTGATTTTATTTAACAAAAAGCTTTGTTATAAATTTAACAAGATTTGTTATAAAACTTAACTGAAAGATTTAATTCTTTACAATAGTGAAAATATAATACTTTTATAACTTTTAATTAACTAGAGACTTAAGAGGCTTTAGTTAAGTGTTTTTATTCTACAAAACTCTTAAGCTTAATAAATTCTTATGAAAGGTTTAATTTCTATAACTCATCTTAATGCATTCTCTTTTTATCTTGACCTAAGCCCAATGTTCAACACTTCTTTCATAATGCATTAGACTACCTTTGTTTATCTTAGTTATTAATTGTCATTTTTTTATGATCTATTCTTTTATGATGCATTATAACTATATTTTATTTGCTTTAGCCTAGAAATGGGTTTTATACATATGCATAATTGCAGAATTATATGCATTAATGTGCATAATTCTATTTTATGCACATTTTATCTCATCAAGATTTCTCTCCTCTCAATAGTTTTTTCTTTTTTTTGCCTTTTTTTTATTATGCAATATTATGTGTATTTATGCATATATTATTATAAATTGCACATTTTTTTTATTACTACTTTAGCTACTAATCATTATTTTTTATGACTCTTTCATGACATATTATGTTTATCTTAGTCATTAATCATTATTTTCTTATGGCTTATTCTTTTACTACTTATTATGACTACTTTTTGTTTATGCTTTAGTCATTAAGCATCATTTGCTTATGTTCATTCTTTCACAATGCATTATAATTACTTTCTGTTTATACTTTGTTTATCTTAGTCATCAAAGCTATTTTCTTATAACTTATTCTTTTATAATGCATTATAACTACCTTTTGTTTATACTTTGTTTATCTTAGTTATTAATCATAATTTCCTTATGAACTATAATGTAGTCAAGTATTTATTTTTTAGCCTAGATATTTGTAGTAGTTTAATTATTTATTTACAGAATTTTTGATGCAGTTTTATAAATATCATTTTTAATCTGTAAAATTAGGCAAATATTAAATAAATAACATTTTGGCAATGTTTATTAATAAATATTTTAGAAAAAGCAACTTTTTTATAATATTTTTCAATAATAAAAGACAAAGATGATGAATATCGCAAAAAGCCAAAAAGAAAGTCTAATGTCGACATATATCAAAAGAGCA